ATGTTTATCCAATCAGGTCTGTATTTCAAAAAGGTTTACCAGAGAGTTAGTTAGCTTTGAGGCCCAGTTTTCCACAATAGCTCACCAGTGCTTCTGATTTCAGGACTGTAATTGAGCTTCCTCTGCTAACTGCAGGCACTGAACCATTGTTTTATTCTCTCTCTCTCTCGCTCTCTCCTCCCCTGTTTCCTCCACACCCAAGCCTATACCAGGTACTCACAACACAAATCAAACTGATAAAAGATCTTTGGCAATCACCATGATGCATTATTGACCGACTTCTAGGGCAAGTGCCCCCAGCCTGGTAAGACTGATATAGGCATTGCCCAGATATGAAACTCAAACTCACCTATTTAACTAGCTTTGACTTAATCTGAGGTGCTTTATTAGCAACCAGTGTAAGACAAAGTAGCTAGTATAATACAGAGTGATGTTTAAATTAGTTTACAATTTGCTTGGGCTCATCTAGACCTGCTCCGAACAAAGCCATTCAGAAATGTCAGCTGTGTTCCTAACCACTGTAACAAATTGTTGCCTGAACGCTGCACACCTAATGACTTCAAATTAGCTTCACTGCGATATTGCCTGACAGTTCGTTACGACTGTTAGTAACATAGCTGGCGTATCATGACCAATAAATTGGTTTCAGTGTGGGCTGGGAAAAGGACTTCCATCAATTTGATTAAAGAAATTACTGTAGCATTCAAAGCATAAAGACAAACTAGTTTAAGGAGACAGAAATAAGTTAACTGTACCAGAAAAACATTGCTCATGATTCAAAAGCTCGTTTATAAGCCATTTGTGAGGCAAACTCTGAACAACTAAATTCCTTCTGTGCAGGAAATATGGAACTGTTCAGAATGTGTTCTAACTGTCCTCCTTTCTAAGCAAATTATGATTTAGATACATATTGATTGTTGTGTATTATTTGGTTTGGGGGAAGTAATTAGAATCAGTCAGAATTGTGTTTTATATTGTTCAAATTCACTGAAGGAGACAGTGCCAGAGTCAAAGTGTTAGGCAAGCACTGAGGAGAACTTTATAAAAAACAAAACAACACAGTCTGAGAAACAAAGCTACACACCAAACTATTTATATCATACGTGTGGATTCATTTATACAATCTATGCTGATCATATATTGACTTCTGAACCAATGGACAATGGCTAAATCTACCACTTTATTGTCAAACTCTTACATTAAAACATCTTCTCCTTGTGTCTGCTGTTCATTTAGAGTGTATATCAGCAAGTATGGATGTGTCTCTCCCCCCCCCCTATTTTATGTAATACATGTAAAGTTCGCCTTCGGACATTATGTGCCTGGCAACCCAGTTTTAGCACGGTATCAGGCAGATACATGTTTTTTCTTGCAAACCAAGGATATGTTCAACTCACAATCCATTGTGTCCTCCCCAAGTTTGCTGGAAATCTGTTGGCACTTTAGCAGGCAGTGCAACCAAGCACTTAGTTATTGAGTAGGGAACAAAAGAGCTAAGGGCGACAGGGAGGGAAAAGGCTGAACATCATGTATTGATTGGAAAAAGTAAAATCTTTGGTTTCAGGTTCCTACTACAGATTATATTTGTCATGTGATCGAGAAAAATGATTGTGTTGTCTGATGACATTAAGATACAGCAGTCCCCATGGCTAATAGCTGCCTAAAAATGCTAGCTATTTTAGGATAGAGCAATGCCAACACAAATCCAAACTGAGTGAAATGTACAAATGTAGGCTTTCATCTCACTAAAACATGAACAGGTATTTCATTCTTCTTCTCCAGAATTTAATATCTCTGAAAGGGGACAAACTGACAGCTCTGCAAACTGCCTTGTCTATTAAGTCAGAAAGCAGTTAAAATGGGAGTCCACAATATCTGTGCAGGCTTCCCAGCACTGCGGTGAAAACATATTCTAAATCTGACATGGGGAGAGGGGAGGAGAGGAAAGAAGTGTGTCTGCGTGGTGGGAGAAATGAATCCCAAGAACCCAAGGAAACATTTCAAGTATTTAGCTACTTTCCCAAATAATTACTTCCCATTGCCTCAAGCTGAGATGTATAAGACAAAACAGTCACAAGGGTCACTGACTTAAGAAAGAGTTTTGCTCCCACTTTAGGAGGCTTCAAAAGTTTTGCTTGGTCCTCATCTACTGGGAAAGCAGGCGACCTTCTTAGCAAAATGGATATGTATTATTTATTTAGTAAAATGTCTGCACCCATCTTTTCCTTTTGGCTCCAGGTGGCTATAAGATTGCCTCTTATGTGCAGACAGATGACTTGACTCTACAGTACCTTTATTGTAGCATGTTCTACAGCGGGGCTGCCCTTGAAAACAATGTGAAAATCACAGTTGGTAAGAATGTGGTAGACTGTTTCGTATGAGGGGCTATCCATAGGGAACATATTATACCTATTCTGAGCTCCCTTCACAGGTCATCAGTTTTTTCTAACCTCCGTTCAAGGTGTTGGTGCTTAACTCTAAAGCCATTCATAACATGTTTGATGGACCACCGCTCCTGCAGCAACTTTGCTCTGCCTGGTTGTTGGACCCTGGTTAATTTGGATTCTGGCCTTCTGTTCTGGAATGGCCTCCCAGAGGAGATGAGGCAAGCATCCATTTTGGTTGCCTTTAGAACAGGTTGCAAGACCGTATTATTCATAAAGGCATTCGGCATGCTTTGACTTGCTCTTTGGGCGTAGTAATAGGATTACCCCAGGATTAGGAACCAGCTGATTGCTTATTTATTGTTTAAAGGACCATTTAGTATTCATTTTTACTGTAATTCTTATGTTGTTACCTGTCTTGGGTTCTAGCTATGCCAGAGGAAAAGCAGACGTATGAATATTTTAAAGAAATTAATAGAAAAAATTAAGTGTGGTAACTGTTTATTTTCTGTACTTGTAGGTACCGTATGGAACTATTAAGACAATGCAGCATTCAAAAGAGTGCATCGTGGTCATATTAACATGACTTTGGCTACACAGTTGTAGCAAATTAAGGACAGTGAGTGGCCATTACACACTATTTTTAATTTTAGGCCAAGTTTGCACTAGCTCCCATTTAGTACATTACTTTGCAGGAAATGCAGTATAAATCACACAAAATCAGTTAGTATAGCACAGGGGTGGCCAAACTGTGGCTTGGGAGCAGCATGCAACTCTTTCACACATATTGTATGGCAGGGAGACTGGAGAAGCAAAGGGGAGGCATGCCTCCCTGATTGGTCTTCCCTTCTCCAGCCAGAATTTCCCTTCCTGGGTAGGCTTGAGATGGGGGGGGGGGGGCAGAGAAAGAAAACAAATTTAATTTTACAGGCATTCTCAAAGCCCCCCCCCGGCTGGCTTTGAGAAAACATATATTTCTTTAAATCCCTTCTCCAAGCCAAACTAGCCAGTGTGGGTGGGCTTGGAGGATGCATTTTAAGTTAATGTTGCTTTCTTTCCACCTCTCCCTTCCTCCTCCCATCTACTTACACACACTCTCTCTCTCTCTCCTCCCTCCCCATTTAAATTAAAATGAGTTCTCCAAGCACCACCCCACCGGTCTGCTGGCTTGGCTTGGTGAAGGCATTTGTCTCTTTAAATCCCTTCTCCAAGCCACGTAGGGTGTGGGTGCGGGGGGCTTGGAGAACACATTTAAAGTTAAAGTTGCTTTCTTTCCACCTCTGCCTCCCTCCCCATTTATTTGCTTTCTTTTCACCTCTCTCTCTCTCTCTTCCCCCTTCCTCCCTCCCTCCCCATCTATTTGCTTCCTTTCCACCTCTTTCCACCTTTCTCTCTGTCTCTCTCTCCCCCTTCCTTATCTTCTCTCTCTCTCTCTCTCCCTTCTCCCCCTCCCTCGCCCATGTATTTGCTTTCTTTGTTTCTGTTTTTCTCTCCTCCTTTCTTTCCACCTTTCTCTTTCTCTCTTTCCACTTTTCTCTTTCTCTCATTTAATGTTAATAAAAAGCAAATTTGCATACTGTCTAATAAAAATGTATATGCAATATTTGTTCATGTCTTGCAGCTCTCAGACATCTGACATTTATTCTATGTGGCTCTTACTTTAAGCAAGTTTGGCCACCCCTGGTATAGCATATCCTAACACAGAATAGGTTGAATCCAAAGTTCACTTTCTGCTGGTGTAAGGAACTTATACCAGCAAAAGTGGGTGGGTGAAATTTATGCTGATTGTCCCTACTTCTGAAGCCTAATGAATTCCCCACATTGCTGCTCATGAGGACAGGAACAGCACAGGAGGCAAAGAGGGAGGCTGCAATGGAACTGGAAATACCCCCCTTTCCTGTAGCAGAAAATGGTCTTTGGAGGCAACCCAGTGTTTTAAACTTTGGTCACTATTCTTGATTCATGTAAACAAGCAAACATATTTTCATCCCTGGTACAGAGGAAGTAGGTTTGTACAGAGCATCATGTATAGGAGGTAAAGGAATGGTGTTTTCCTGAACTCTGGTGATCACAAAAGCAAGGATTTACAACTATCCCTGCATTTTTTAGACAGTAGTCATCTTTTCCCTGGTGACATCTTGTTCCTGCTAGCTATTCCTATTATGCACAAGTACTGATTCAGTCCAGAGAAGGCAAGAAGACATTAAGAACTTTGAGCCTTCAGCTTCTAAAAGTTAGGAAATACCTCCTTAACACTGGACAGCCATCATAAAGCAGGAGAGGGACAAGAAAAGAATCTATTCATGACTCATGGACTCAACTCGCTTTCATAAAATGAAGAAAATCACATTAACATAATGAGGCTGAAAGCATCATCCTCTGCTGGGAATAAATATAAAAATAATGTTGTCTACAAGCCAACAGTGACTTACGCTGAGGTTCCTCTAAAATCAAAGGGGTTTAAAGGTATCTGACTGTTGTGCTGCATAAGAATTTGGAAACAAAACTAAACACAGGAAAAAAGTAACCACATTTCACCATAATAAAATTAATCCATGTCATGGTTTGTATCAAGCGGAAATCATTGTACTGACACCAAATCTACTTGGTACATACCTGGAATATGTTTAGCCCATCCGATGATGACCACCAGTTCTCTGTCTGCCAGGTCACAAAGAGTGGTGAGGGCTTTGATGTCACTGTCTGGCACAGTGGGGTCAGGCATAGCATAGATCTTCTCTGGTTCAGCCACCAGCAAATGAGAGACAATCTTGTTATCTGTAAAGAAGGATCAGGGTATGAGCTATTATCATTATCATAAAAATTAAGTTTTGCATGACTGCTCCACTGACTCCACCCAAGACTTACAACAGCAGATACATTCGGCACAGCAAAACACACACACACACACACACACACACACACATTTCCTTATTAATTTTGGTATGTAGCCCTGATCTACTGAGATAAATGAGATTGTTGCTATTTATGCCACTGAATCAAGATACATGTGTAATTCTATACAACCAGCTAAATAAAAAATAAAGCTAGCATCAGCAATTTGTAAAGTCAGACATCTGCTAGGCCTTGGATACTGCCAGGGTACATGCCACCATCCAGACTTCCTTAAATCAGTGGAGATTAAAATGCAATTACTTTTACATGCATGGGCATGTAAACTTCATAGCGGTTAGGAGAAGAGGGGAGATACATGCACAGGCATGAAAGTTCATATGTGGCCCAGAAGCAGAGCATTCATGTGTGTGTTTTTAGTCTGGGCTCATTACTGAGCAATTTCAAGAGCCAGAAATTATGTTACCTTCTTTCTGGGCTGACTCAACTGAGTCTTCTTGTTATGGGACTTGAAAGAGCATATAATGTAGTGGTTAGAGTGTTGGAGATATGGGGAGACCCATGTTTGAATCTCCATTCTGCCATGGAAGCCTGTTGAGTGACCTTGGGACAGTCACACACTCTCAGTCTACCCTACCTCATAGGGTTGTTGTGAGGATAAAATGGAGGAGAGTAGAATAATGTAAGCTGCTTTGGGTGCCCATTGGGGAGAAAGGCAGGGAATGAATGAATGAATACATATGTACATACGTACGTACATATGTACATACATGCATACATAATTGGGCCTGATTGCTTGTCAATGCCATCCCCTACACAATCTGTTTCTCAGACTGGCCTGGTTCAGACCACCTGGTCCACTTCATGGAGGTTAGGAGGACAGTATGTGTTGAAGGATCTTAGTCACAGAAGAGCAGTGAGTGCAATATATAAGGCTCTCAGCCACGGAAGAGCACTGAGTTCAATTTATAAGGCTGAGAGAGAGAATCTGAATCTTGTCTATAGTTGTCACAGGATCCTGACGGTTCCCCCTTGCTACTGCTAAAGTCCTCTAGTCCCCCTTGCTCCACCACCTTGGTGTCCCGACCTTAAAGCAGCAGGGGCCTCAGACACTTGAACGAGGAGGGAGGTTACTTCACTGTCCCTACCAATCCGATCTTTCTGGATGGTTGGCTCTCTGCGTCTCTCTTTTCCAGCGTTGCCCTTTCCCAATCCAGGTAGTCATCCCTGGCCTCTTGTTGCTGCTTCCTTTTATTCCCCACCCCTGTGTCCCAGTGTTCCCTGTGCTCTCCCCGCCCTCCTCTCTTCCCGAGCTCTGCCCCCCTACATAGCTGAGGACTCCGGGGTGGGGTCGCGATCTCCACTACTCCTTCCAGATTTGGGTTAGATGCAGCTGGGCGGCTCTGTTCAGGACGCGGAGCCCAAACGCGGCGCAGGTGGACAAGCTCCCGACAGCTCTTCTACTGCCGCTGTTTGGGATTGGTATGTGGACCGCTGGCGGTCTCTCCTCGGCTGGCGTGTTCTGGTCTTCCCCGGAGCCTCAGGTAAGTAGAGGAGGACCCAGGGGCTGCCCTCCTGGCATCGGGAGTGGCCTTGTTGGTGACGTGGGGGGGCTGGCGGTCCCGACATCGGGACAATAGTGTATGTGAAAATGTGTAGGGATGGGCATAAACTGGCTCATGAACTAAAGTTCTGGTTTAAACTGGCTGGTTAATGGATCACAAAGCGAAGTTTGTGGCAGGTTTCCACACTTTCCATCTGTTCGTAGACGGATACATTTCCAGACAGACTGTCTCCACTCAATCTAAATGTTCTCCAAACTTCAAAACAATAGTGGAGGTAGAACTTGGAGGGCATGTAGAGAAGCATCTGGGGGAGGTCCCCAGTGATTTTGATATCTCTAGCTTGCACTGGATCCGTTCTATACAGTCCTGAAACTCCTGAACCTGTGCCTGTCAAAATGACCTCCTGTCAGTCATTTTGACAGGCACAGGTTCAGGAGGATCAGGGGTGTATAAAATGGATCCTGTGCAAGCTACACACACCAAAATTACAGGGAGTCATCTACCTGCCATCCAAGTTTGGTGAGGATTGGATCCATGGGGTCTTTCTTGGTGGCACCTTCTTTGGAGGGCTGTAACTCAGACCCTGTAAATCCAATCCTCACCAAACTTGGATGGCAGGTAGAGGAGAGTCAGCCAGAGATCTCCTGAGAGTTTGGTGTCTCTAGCACACCAGGAGGGATTCTACCAGGTCATGAACTGAAGTAGTTCAATTGGTGGCTAAAAGTATGTGACAGTTCATGGTTCGCAAACTAGGCACACCTCAGACCACAAACTGAACTGCATTTTCCCAGTCTGTGCCTATCCCTAAAAATGTGTTGCTGAGAAGGAGTTCATGCTTCAGTCATGTGTGCACCTAGGGGGACTGATGGGTAGCTACGTTAGTCTGACTGTAGCAGTGGAAAAGAGCAAGAGCACCTTAAAGGCTAACAAAATTTGTGACAGGGTATGAGCTTTCATGAGTAAGTGCTCACTTCTTCAGATACGGGGATGGTATGTATCTAGAGATTTCCCTTGTCAGTCATGAATCCACTGGGGGGAGGGAAATTTATTTTTTAAAAAATCTTTCTTCCTAGAGCTTACAAAAGCTGTAACTATCCCTTTATTTTAAAAAGAACCTGTTTCCAGTATTCCATCACATTCTAGCATGGCCAAGGGACAGAATCCATGGCATGCCCATGCAGAGACAGCAGGGTTGACTTTCAGTATCTCCCACTGAATTCATTTGGGGATTGATCCAACATTCTTTCTCTTTTGTCCTAGTCTACAAATACACCAGAATATGGTGGAGACCAGGCAGTGGAACCCTGAAATGGCAGAAAGTATACTTAGGACTTCAGAGGGTGGTGGTGTTTGTGTGGGGGGCACATTTTTAATGTTTCCATAATTTTTTTTTAATAAAAACCCTCCTTGCAAGCAGAAAATCAACCGAGCATGTATCTTGCATAATTTCTCCTTTGCTTGGAAACAGAAACTAAACAGTCTCTTCCTCAGAGAAAAATTATCCATCTTTTCAGTGCAGGAGGTGCTTCAGAAAAGTTCAGGAAGAATGACCTTTGCTCTACAAGGGGTGCCTACTTAGAAGCTGCTGCCTTTATCCATCATAGTTGGACACTTAGCTTGGAACCTCCAAACATTTTGTGGAACCTCCCGATTGGTCCCAACCATGTGGAACCCATTTTGTCAATAGTGCCCACTGTCAACCCCAAAATAACTATAGATGCAGCAAGGCTGAGGATCCTTGATTTACATGGAGTAATGTTCAAAACTGCTATCAAAAGAGCAAACGTGAGATATAAATATTTTAATAACTAAAAATATTACCATTTCAGGATTCCATTACCTCCCTCAGCTAGTATTATGGGAGAGGGAGAAAAAGCTCCCTCTATCCAATTTCTCCACTCCACGCATAAAGTTATAAACCTCTATCATGCCCCCCCTTGATTTATGGTAACCCCATACAGTTTTCAAGGCACGAGATGTTCAGAGGTGCTTTGCCATTGCCTGCCTCCATGCTGTGACCCTGGTATTCCTTGGTGGTCTCCCTTCCAAATACTAGCCCTGCTTAGCTTCCAAATTCTGATAAATCAGGCTAGCATGGGCTGTAAGCCTCTATCATGTATTTTTTCTAGATTAAAGAACTCCCAGCCATCTTTTTTCTAGATTAAAGAACTCCCAGGCCCTCCAGCCTTTCCTCAAAGGAAAGGTACTCTGACTCCGTAATCATCTTGGTTGACTTGGCTTGCCTTTTTCTGGTTCTGCAATGTGCTTTTTGAGATCAGAATTTCATACAGTGTCCAAATGAGGCCACACCATAGCTTTATACAAGGGCATTATAATATTGGCCATTTCATTTTCAGACCCTTTCCTAATAACTCTTAGAACGGGGTTTGACTTTTTCCACTGTTGCCACACACTGGGTCAACATTTCCATTGCGTTTTCCACAAGAACCCCAAGATCTCTTTCAGTCTCAATCTCAGCCAGTTCAGATGCCAAGAGCATATGTTTATTCTCATGTTTTGTTCCAATATGTATCACCTTACACTTATCCACATTGAAACTGGTTTGCCATGTAGTTGCTCACTCACCCAATTTACCCATGGCACTGAAAATTTGCCTACGACACTGCCTGGCCCCAAATCCTAATAATTTATGAAAAAATTAAATTGTTCCAGTCCTAATACTGATTCTTGTGGGAACCCAACTGCTCACTTCCTTCCATTGTGTGAACCAATTATTCCAGTTCAGGAATACACCACTACAAACAAACAAACAAGCATACAAACAAACAAACAAACAAAAAGATCCCTCCCCACACATACACACTATGCTCTGTGTCCCGTTTCCATTCAAATAGGATGCAGCCTAGCCCAATCAGAGTTAAGGGCTGGCTGCCACAGTCTAATCAGCACAGGAGCTGTCCATGAATGCTAGAAAACTAGATGCAGGTCAGAAGCCTAAAGAATAGAATGCTGAACAGCAGTGGAGCTGTCCAGGCAAGTCACTAAAGCAATAGCTTGTCTATAGAGACAGTTTGGGACAGAATTTTTAGCTGTATTTTTTAACTGAAGTTATCACATCTAGGTATTTTTGTTTTATTCTTTGTTTCCATAGGAAACATGTTTTCTCCCTGCAAATTCTTTGTTTCCCAGTTGCAGAGCAGGCACAGACAAGCGTTGAAAAGATGCACGGATTTTTTTGTTCTTTTACAGGACCTTCAAATGTGGTAGCTCGGAAGACGGCATTCTTAAACAAAAGAAGGATGTGTGAGTGAGCAGGGCTAAGTCTTTACACCTTCCACACCTTTCTTTGCTGCACTGCCGCACTTGAATATTTCTTTTCCTCCCCACTAGGCTTTGATA